GCATGAAATCAGGCTGAGTAATGGAAATGATAAATAATACAGTGAGGAAGATGGAAAAATGTGGAGCGTCATTGATAAAATGCTGCCGGTATTAAGCATATGGTGTGGTACCGGAATATAGGCCTAAGGAGTGTTGGCACCACTGTGTGAGGGATGGCGGCAGTGAGAGGGGCTGCCCTTGCAGTTGGATCTTGTGCTTGGGGCCTGCTCAGCCCAATACGTGGTGATATGTTCTAAATAAAGAGGTGTGGTGCTACACTCCATAATAATATCCTAAAGGCATACTGAAGGTTTATTGGTCAATTTTAAATAGGAGTGAATTTTTTGTGGTGTGGTTTTTTTTTTTTTTTTTTTGTTTTGTTTTTTAATTCACCACTGTGAAAAATACACTCTAAAGAGTATCAAGTCAATTCAGTTCCACAAAATAGGTTAGAGTAAAAATAATCTAGTTGCGTACTTTCCATGATTATTTTTTGTTTTCTGCACTAACAGTTACATTTTCAGGGCAAGATTTTGGGGCCTACTTACTACTTCTATGGTCCAATCAGTAGACCGTAGAAGTAGGGGGTAAGCCTTGAAAATTTGTCCGGAAAATTTAACAGTGCAGATAAAAAAGTATCATCAATAGTACTGAACTGTATTGTTGTGAGTGCAATAATAATAATTCTTCGGCCCCACAAGAGTTCTTGGGACGCTGTTGGGTCTTCTTTTATTTTATGCAAAAAAAAACTATAATACACAAGTGTAAGTTTCCTTTAGCCCTTACTATGGATTATTGGAAGCACTTGGTTAACTCGGCCATTCCACTTTATAAATTTACATATGAGGCTAGGGGTTGCCTGCAGAACGTTTTCCAAAGTTTGGGATGTTTGGCGCATTTCCTTTTTCTTCTAACGCCTCTCTGGAATCTAGCCCTTCGGTTTGAGTTTAGTATGTCTACTGATGGTGTAGTTGGGGCTCCCTTTTCTGGTTGGGTTATCCTGTAATATGGTAATGTATTACCTGCAGTTGGAGCAGAGAAGGTGTTAAGATGTTTGGAGGAGACCCCCTCCTGGGATGTTATTTCTCCTGTTGATTCTCAGGTTGTTGTACTGTTTGGAGTGCCTCCTTAGGAGGTGTTTATGTTGTTGAGTTGTAATTGTGAGCCAGGGTATGCATAGTTGGCTTTGTTTTGTAACCTTTAACCCAAACTTTAATAGAAATGAGTTGCAATACCAAGTGTAAAAGTCAGCTGCCACCAGATCTCTTCAGTTGGCTGGTGGATACTGGATGCCTCCTAAGCTGCCCATAAACCAGTAGAATTTTATTTGACAGTTTTTTTCTTTTTTGGAATGTTCGTTTCATTTTCTGATGGTTAGTGGGTACAGATCATTGTTCATTTTTGACCATGGTGATGAGCAAATTCGAAGGAGCAGGATGGAAATTGTTTTCTTGAAAAAAACTGTAGCTGTGAATGAGATTTATATTTTGGAAAATTGTTGAAATTCTAATGAAACTTGTTATATTACATCTGGAATTCCATTCAAATAACAGGACGGAATTTTAAGGGCTTTCGATTAAACCAATAAACTCATTGATGGCAACAAAGAATGTTTTGCTGAACTATTTTTCTGCAAATGTTCGACTGAAAATCTAACCATGTATGGCCAGTTGCGAACTCCTCAGTAATGCGTTGGAGTTGTAGCATACCGCAATACTAATTTCAGATAAGCTTTGTTTGCTACAGCTTGCTTACTCTAGACTGCTGGTGCTTCATGTTCAGATTACTGTTCACAGGGCATTTGCCAGGCAGTGAGGAGGGATTATATAACCTTTAAACTTCATACCAGCGGGTTACAACCATGTGCACTGCATGCGGTTGTGGAGCATCCCTCTTCAGTTGATTCAGCGGGTGGTACTACCCACAGATTGTGGTGTGTGTGTGTGTGTGTGTGTGTGTGTGTATATGTACAGTTGTGGCCAAAAATTATTCAACCCCCACTGAAATTGAGTGTTTTGGCCAGTTTGACATTGCTTTTGATCATTCCAGTCATCTTGCTTACATTTACATTAAAGAGGCACTTGTAGGTCAGACAAAATATAACATAACAGTTATAATGAAATAACCACAAATGTCTTTTCTGTGCTCACAGGTTTTTTATTCAACCCCCAAGTGACATTCAATCTTAGTACTTAGTACAGCATCCTTTTACAGTTATAACAGCTTTTAAACGTGAAGCATAGCTTGACACAAGTGTCTTGCAGCGATCTACGGTATCTTCGCCCATTCTTCATGGGCAAAGGGCCTCCAGTTTCAGTCACATTCTTAGGCTTGCGCACTGCAACTGCTTTCTTTAAGTCCCACCCAGAGGTTCTCAATCGGATTAAGTCTGGTGACTGCGATGGCCACTCCAAAATGTTCCAGCCTTTCCTCTGCAACCATGCTCTAGTGGACTTGGAGGTATGCTTGGGATCATTGTCCTGTTGAAAGGTCCAACGTCTCCCAAGCCTCAGGTGTGTGACGGACTGCATCACGTTTCCATCCAATATCTCCTGGTACTGAAGAGATTCATGGTACCTTGCACACGCTGAAGCTTCCCTGTACCTGCAGAAGCAAAAACAGCCCCAAAAGCATGATTGACCCTCCACCATGCTTCACAGTAGGCAAGGTGTTCTTTTCATCATAGGCCTTGTTCTTTCCTCCTCCAAACATAGCGTTGATCCATGGGCCCAAACAGTTTCTAATTTTTGTTTCATCAGTCCACAGAACACTATCCCACAACTTTTGTGGTTTGTCCACATGGCTTTTGGCATACTGCAGTCGACTCTTCTTATTCTTTGGAGACAGCAAGGGGGTACGCCTGGGAGTTCTGGCACGGAGGCCTTCATTACGCAGTTGTGCGTCTTATTGTCTGGGCTGAAACTTCTGTACCCCCATCTGACAAATCTTTTCTCAGTTTGTGGGCAGTCACATCGACGGGGACTTCTCTCCACTCTACGCTTCAGGTAGCGCACAGCAGTCGAAGTCAGCATCTTCTTTCTGCCACGACCAGGTGTTTCAACAGTGCCCTTTGCCTTGAATTTGCGAATGATGCTTCCTAAGGTGTCTCTTTGGTTTAACATCTTTGCAATCTTCTTTTAGCCATTGCCCTTCCTGTGAAGAGAAAATCACCTCTTCTCTTGTCTTCCTGGACCATTCTCTTGCCTTCACCATGTTTGTAACCACACCAGTAAATGTCTAGAAGGAGCTGAGTATCACAGTCATTTTAAAGCTGCCTAATTGGTGCTATATTATGCTTGATTGCTGCTCGGTGACATCCACAGGTGTTTTCAATACCTGATGGAAAGCACCTGTATGAACCTCTGTTCTTCAGAGTGGGAAGTAGTTTTAAGGGGTTGATGAATAATTGGTGGCAATGAAGAAACCCAACATAAGAACCATTTACTACTGTATTACATAAACAATTGATGTCATTTTAGTTGCATTTGGGTAGTTACAACGTCCTTGTAGGATTTGATTCTGAATACAATTCCAAATGTACACCTATAGTCCCTAAACCCCTTTACAGCATTGGGGGTTGAATAATTTTGGCCACAACTGTATATGTATGTATATATAATATACACACACACACACCCCTTTAGGGTGCAAATGCAGTTGTTGGTGTGTGTATGTATGTATGTGTGTGTGGTGTGGTGTGTGGTGTGTGTGTATGTATGTATTTTATGTATGTAATATATATATATATATGTATATATATGTGGTGGGTGTGTGTGTGTGTGGTGTGTATATATATATATATACTATAATTCACACACACACCAACTGCATTTGCACCCTAAAGAGGAGCAGTAAAAACGTGGCGCAACCATGTCGGTTCCTGCCTCTCAACCCAAAGTGTACACCAGGCCTATTTGGTATGGCTTGCACTATGTTTGCTGTGATGAGACAAGCAGTCTTCACCCCCAGTGTTGGGGGGCATTGAGTGTTCATGTTTTAGAATATCCCCCTCTGGCTCCGGATTTTGGTAGTTAAACATCCTGGGGATCTGTACTTGTCATCAATCACTGCTTGTCTGGTCATAGGGAGTAGGTGAAGCTGATTTGTACTCCTGCGCTGTGTATGGTTGTCACCCCGGTAAAATTGCGCCTTGTTTCCAGTGTTAATAATAGCAGACAGATCATCAGGCTGGTATTTTTTCCTAGAAAAGTTGGCAAGCTTTGTGGTATGTAGAAGGGTAGTGGGGCTGCCGGTGATTCCTTCTCTAAACCTCTGAAAATCCTGAATCGGGGAAAACCCTGTACTCTTAAGCTGATTTCTTCACATAGTTGCTTACCTGTTAACATATGCATTTTCATGCATTAGGGGTGTCAAACTGCGGCCCTTCAGCTGTTGCAGAACTACAAATCCCTTGCAGAGCTGACAGTTAAAAACATGACTCCCAAAGGCAAAGGTGTACTGAGATAAATAAATTGTATCTAAAGCAAAAACCTCTGATTTAGAACACAGTTGGGGGATGGGTAAAATTCCTATCAGAACTTCTTTCCCCATCTTTGTCCCATTAGCCAAATGTATCTTTACTTCCTGTCCCACAGACACAACAGGAAGTGAGGGGAAATCCATCTCGACGTAAGGGAAATCTCCTCTTAGGCAGGTCTCACCACAAGTGTCTGTTCTGTTCTTCTTATGGTGACAACTCCAACTTTTTTCATTCTTTCTTTATTGCTACTCCAACAGACAGTGAGAAACAAGTCAGACCATGATGTAGGCCGTGTGCTGACATAAACGATGAATAACGCTCATGACAGTAAATACTATACAAAGTGATTGTCAACATGGGGAAGGCCCACCACCATCAAGGGCCTTGGGTCCATTGGACTTGCATAGAATAAGGCCTTGTTTACAGGCTTCCTGGTAGGTTGGATTTTCAGTCACTTTTAACCACCTCCTGCCCGCCTGCCATATTAGTCCAATGACGGGCGCAATGTGGTTCTCTTATTCTGGGAGGACGTCATATGACGTCCTCCCATTCTCACCGTGCATGCGTGGCTCAGGGAGTGCGCAGCACGGCGATCGGCGATGCGCCGTGTCCAATCACAGCTGATCACATGTAAACAGGGAAATGCCGGTTATCGGCATTTCTCTCCTCTCGAGCTGTCACGCTGACAGCTCAAGAGGAGAGGAGAACCGGTAATCGGCTTTCTGCGGAGGGGACATCTACACTGATCATCAGGGCACTGATGATCAGTGTGCCCTGATGTTCAGTGTAGCCCCAGCAGTGCCACCTGTCAGTGTCCATCAGGGCCTTGTGTCAGTGCTCATCAGTGCCTCGTATCAGTGCCTACCAGTGCACATAAATGCCACATATCAGTGCCCATCTGAGCTGCCTTTCAGTGCCACCTATCAGTGGCGCCTATCAGTGCCAGTCAGTGGCGCCTATCAGTGCCAGTCAGTGCCGCCTATCAGTGTGCATCAGTGCCGTGTCAGTACTGCCTGTCAGTGCCATGTATCAGTGCTGCCTTTCAGTGCCCATCAGTGATGCCTGTCAATGGCCATCAATGCCACCTACCAGTGCCTCCTCATCAGTGTCCATCAGTGCCACCTATCATTGTCCATCAGTGCAGCCTATCAGTGCCCACCACTGCAGCCTCATTAGCGTATATCAGTGAAGGAGAAAAATCACTTATTTACAAAATTTTATAACAAAAACTAAGAAAAAAATGTTTTTTTTTCAAAAATGTTCAGTGGTTTTTGGTTTTAGGAAAAAAAAACCCAGAGGTGATTTAAATACCACCAAAAGAAAGCTCTGTCACAAAAAAATGATCAAAACCGTGCAATTGTCATTCAAAGTGCGACAGTGCTGAAAGCTGGAAATTGGCCTGGGCAGGAAGGGGGTATAAGTGCCTTGTAGGCTTTTGTGGTTAAAATAACACAGAGCACTGATTTGAAAAATAAATAATATAAAAAAATAAAATAATAAGTGTGTGTGTGTGTATGGATACATGGAGATTTTATGTGTGTGTGTGTCTAACATGAGCTGCTCATTCCAAACAAAGGGAAGTGAGGGAGAAACTGAGGGGCTTGGTAGCTCACAGAAGACCTAACAAGGAGAAAGAAAAACACAAACTATTTCATGAACAATAGATTACAGAGGCATTAAGTAGAGGATGTGTATGAACTATTTGGGGGAATAATGATCTCTTAGTGGCACTTTAATCCAAAGGTCACCAGGATATACAGGTGAAACTCAAAAAATTAGAATATCGTGCAAAAGTTCATTTATTTCAGTAATGCAACTTAAAAGGTGAAACTAATATATGAGATAAACTCATTACATGCAAAGCAAGATAGTTCAAGCCGTGATTTGTCATAATTGTGATGATTATGGCTTACAGCTCATGAAAACCCCAAATCCACAAGCTCAGAAAATTAGAATATTACATGCAATCAATAAAACAAGGATTGTACATAGAACAATATTGGACCTCTGAAAAGTATAAGCATGCATATGTACTCAGTACTTGGTTTGGGCCCCTTTTGCAGCAATTACTGCCTCAATGCGGCGTGGCATGGAAACTATCAGCCTGTGGCACTGCTGAGGTGTTATGGAAGACCAGGATGCTTCAATAGCGGCCTTCAGCATTTCTATATTGTTCAGTCTCATGTCTGTCCTCTTTATCTTGGCAATGCCCCATAGGTTTTCTATGGGGTTCAGGTCAGGCGAGTTTGCTGGCCAATCAAGCACAGTAATCCCACGGTCATTGAACCAGGTTTTGGTGCTTCTGGCAGTGTGGGCAGGTGCCAAGTCCTGCTGGAAAATGAAGTCCGCATCCCCATAAAGCTCATCTGCGGAAGGAAGCATGAAGTGCTCCAAAATCTCCTGGTAGACGTCTGCGTTGACCCTGGACTTAATGAAGCACAGTGGACCAACACCAGCAGATGACATGGCTCCCCAAATCAACACAGACTGTGGAAATTTCACACTGGACTTCAAGCATCTTGCAGTGTGTGCCTCTCCATTCTTCCTCCATACTCTGGGTCTTTGGTTTCCAAATGAGATGCAAAAGTTGCTCTCATCAGAAAAGAGGACTTTGGACCACTGAGCAACAGACCAAGTCTGTTTTTCTTTAGCCCAGCTAAAAAGCTTCTGATGTTGTTTGTTGTTCAGGAGCGGCTTGAGAGGAATACGACATTTGAAGCCCATGTCCAAGATCCGTCTGTGTGTGGTGGCTCTTGATGCACTGACTCCAGCCTCAGCCCACTCCTTGTGAAAGTCCCCAACACTTTTGAATGGCCTTTTCCTGACAATCCTCTCCAGGCTGCGGTCATCCCTGCTGCTTGCGCACCTTTTTCTTCCACACTTTTCCCTTCTACATAGCTTTCTATTAATGTGCTTTGATACAGCACTTTGGGAACATCCAACTTCTTTTGCAATTACCTTTTTGAGGCTTTCCCTCCTTATGAAGGGTGTCAATGATGGTTTTCTGCACAACTGTCAGGTCAGCAGTCTCTCCCATGATTATGATTCCTACTGAACCGGACTGAGAGACCATTTAAAGGCTCAGGAACCCTTTGCAGGTGTTATGGCTTAATTAGCTGATTAGAGTGGGACACTTTGAGCCTAGAATATTGCACCTTTTCACAATATTCTAATTTTCTGAGATTGTGGATTTGGGGTTTTCATGAGCTGTAAGCCATAATCATCACAATTATGACAAATCACAGCTTGAACTATATTGCTTTGCATGTAATGAGTATCTCATATATTAGTTTCACCTTTTAAGCTGCATTACTGAAATAAACTAACTTTTGCACGATATTCTAATTTTTTGAGTTTCACCTGTATAAAGTGAGTCTTCCCGGCAGGGACACAGACACACAGCAGTACATACAGCAAAACCAGTCCTGTTTTCAGCTATGTTAGTGCTGGTTCCTGCAGGTTGAATCCATTCTCCATCGCATCCTGAGCATAGGAACAGCAAAGTATCCTTCCTATAATGGGCCATACAGGTAAACCAGGAGGCCCTTTTATTCATGGTACAGGGCTTCCATCCCTGCTTTAGGCATAATAATAATATCGATGACCCACTGTCTCTCCTTGTGATCTGTCTGTTTGTCTGTCTGTCTGGGGCCGTTGTGCTATCAAAACGTTGGTGTATATCTACTGTGCTGATATGGGTCTTCTGGAAGTCCTGCTTCCGAATCATCTTGGTGTGCCGGTTTTCTCTTCATTGCAGCAATAAAAAGTTGACCGAGGTCCTAGCCTTTCTCTCTATTTTATATATCTGTTTAGTCCTATCCGACTCTCTGCAATGCTATGGGCCAGCTCCCTGGGCACCATATCTGAAACATTTCTCTATCTTTGCATAGAATTTTCTGGCATGTTTTTACGAGTTAGGTTTCCTCCCTCAATTCCCATGGGGATTGACTTTCAAAATTAATGAGATTTTAGCTAATTTGTACACACAAACGAGGGACAGTTTAGACAGGAGCCACTTAGTGTTACTAAACCCAGGACCCTGTATTCACTATATCTGGTCTCCCACAGTACACAGAACATGGAAATGCAATTATTTTAGTAAATATAAACTGCTAAATATCTTTTCTCATCAGCAGTTAGAGCAGTCTTGTGACTTCGATCAGTGTCCAGCAGTGCACTGGTTAAAGCTTGTAGGAGGAGTTTTCGTTTTGCTCTAGGAGGATGCAGATCCCCTGTCTTGACAGTGCACTTCATAGTGCACTTGCAGTTTTGACAGTGCTGATTGGCCCAGTGCTGATCACATGCACTCTCCCAAGTAAACAAAAACCCTCTCTAGTAATACACACCAAAGTGAGTATGTGCAGAGTGTCTCCACATGCTATGTCTTATCAGGAGATAAGAGGGGGACACTGAAAGAAGGGAAGGATCAGAGAATTCAGGATCAAACATCCTTTTTACACAGTGCAGAGGATTAACCCCTTAGGTTCCACAGTGAGTATAACAAGCATGCATTACTGCATATACAGACTGATTTTACTGTTGTGGGTTTAGTAACACTTTACCTACCAGCATGTCTTTGTAGTTTGGGAGGAAACTGGATACAAATATGGAGGGATCATGCAAACTCCATGCAGATAGTGTCGTGACATAAGTGCTAATCGCTAAGGCCTGGTTCACAATAGTGCGACTTGTCACACAGAATCACATAAGGGAAATCTCATTGTTTTCAATGGTGGTGCCCATTCTATTTAATGCAACTCACAATGGTGTGATTTCAGAAAAGGTTCCTGCACTACTTTTGTACAATTTACAGTGCAACTTGATCCCATAGAATATGCAGAGTCGCACCACATATCACATTGTAAATCGCATCAAAGTTACATTGCAGTAGTGTGAACCGAGCCTAAGCCACAGTGCCGGCCTAACCCTTCCCTGTTCTATCCAGAACTGGAAATAACAAGTTTTGGCTTTTCATACACTTTGTGGCAGCCCATAAAATTTGAATGTATTGATGGCACACCTTTGGCCAATGACGATCCATTTTTCTGCTGCCAGACTTGCTGTGGTTTACTGCACTTTGCTTTGATTTATTGAATAGGTCTGATAATGTCTTTGGAGACAACTTACTTGCTATCAGATTGTGCAGAACGCCCCTTGGGCATATGTAATAAGTCAAAAATCAATATACAAAGTTAATTAACAACCAATAGGTGATTATCTTTTATCGGTTCAGATCTTTCACATGCTTACTTGCCCATAGTGACCAGTCAGCTTTTATCTTTCATTATTTACCTCCCACTGGAAAATAGAAGAAGGAATCCAATTTGCTGCTCTGTACAGTTCCATTGGAAGTCCCATTTACTCTTTGCATCATCCTTACAAAGTCAAAGGTTTTGTCTTCCCTGGTGGCATAAACTGAACGCTTGCAAAAGCTTAGAAAACGTGCCTTGCATTTTTAAAGTGTTTGTGCGTCGTTTTTTTTTTTTTTTTTTTTTTTTTTTGATGTGTGAATGCCCAATGGCCACAGCCCAGTGGCACCAGAACCTGGTGGGTGGTCAGACACACAGCACCCATGTTGCCACTTTGAACCCTGCATTTCCCAAAGGGCTTCATGCACATGGATAGTGAGAAGCATAAAAAATCCATGCTGCATACATCCTGCCATACAAGTAAATGGCCATACATGGCTGTACTATTGTAAATGCTGATGCTTCTTTGATTCCTTGTTTACTCATGTATGGCATACAGTGGGGTTGATTTACTAAAATTGGAGAGTGCAAAATCTGGTGCAGATCTTCATAGACACCAATCGGCTTCCAGGTTTTTTTTTTTTTTTTTTTTTTTTTTTTTTAATCAAAGCTTAACGGAACAAGCTGAAGTTGAAAGCTGATTGGCTACCGTGCACAGCTGCACCACATTGTACACTGTCCAGCTTTAATCAACCCCAATGTATCCCTGAATGTGAAATTTCAAGAGGTATTAGGCCTGGTTCACACTGCTGTTACCCCATTGACGTGTGA